TCAGAATGCAGAAGTTGGAGGCATCAGGCCGATGGGTGTGCAGAACCAGAGGAACAAGTCAGAAAGCAGAAGTTGGAGGCATCAGGCCGATGGGTGTGCAGAACCAGAGGAACAAGTCAGAATGCAGAAGTTGGAGGCATCAGGCCGATGGGTGTGCAGAACCAGAGGAACAAGTCAGAATGCAGAAGTTGGAGGCATCAGGCCGATGGGTGTGCAGAACCAGAGGAACAAGTCAGAATGCAGAAGAATGGAGGCATCAGGCCGATGGGTGTGCAGAACCAGAGGAACAAGTCAGAATGCAGAAGTTGGAGGCATCAGGCCGATGGGTTTGTAGAACCAGAGGAACAAGTCAGAAAGCAGAAGTTGGAGGCATCAGGCCGATGGATGTGCAGAACCAGAGGAACAAGTCAGAATGCAGAAGTTGGAGGCATCAGGCCGATGGGTGTGCAGAACCAGAGGAACAAGTCAGAATGCAGAAGTTGGAGGCATCAGGCCGATGGGTTTGTAGAACCAGAGGAACAAGTCAGAATGCAGAAGTTGGAGGCATCAGGCCGATGGGTGTGCAGAACCAGAGGAACAAGTCAGAATGCAGAAGTTGGAGGCATCAGGCCGATGGGTGTGCAGAACCAGAGGAACAAGTCAGAATGCAGAAGTTGGAGGCATCAGGCCGATGGGTGTGCAGAACCAGAGGAACAAGTCAGAATGCAGAAGTTGGAGGCATCAGGCCGATGGGTGTGCAGAACCAGAGGAACAAGTCAGAAAGCAGAAGTTGGAGGCATCAGGCCGATGGGTGTGCAGAACCAGAGGAACAAGTCAGAATGCAGAAGTTGGAGGCATCAGGCCGATGGGGTTTTGTAGAACCAGAGGAACAAGTCAGAATGCAGAAGTTGGAGGCATCAGGCCGATGGGTGTGCAGAACCAGAGGAACAAGTCAGAATGCAGAAGTTGGAGGCATCAGGCCGATGGGTGTGCAGAACCAGAGGAACAAGTCAGAATGCAGAAGTTGGAGGCATCAGGCCGATGGGTGTGCAGAACCAGAGGAACAAGTCAGAATGCATAAGTTGGAGGCATCAGGCCGATGGGTGTGTAGAACCAGAGGAACAAGTCAGAATGCAGAAGTTGGAGGCATCAGGCCGATGGGTTTGTAGAACCAGAGGAACAAGTCAGAATGCAGAAGATGGAGGCATCAGGCCGATGAGTGTGTAGAACCAGAGGAACAAGTCAGAATGCAGAAGTTGGAGGCATCAGGCCGATGGGTGTGTAGAACCAGAGGAACAAGTCAGAATGCATAAGTTGGAGGCATCAGGCCGATGGGTGTGTAGAACCAGAGGAACAAGTCAGAATGCATAAGTTGGAGGCATCAGGCCGATGGGTGTGTAGAACCAGAGGAACAAGTCAGAATGCAGAAGATGGAGGCATCAGGCCGATGGGTGTGCAGAACCAGAGGAACAAGTCAGAGTCATAAACAGATGGTGAAACTTATGTTATGATCAAGGCCTTCACAAAGGACTCACTTTTCAATCCTTTCCATCATGTAGAAAACGTACAAAGGAAAGAATCAAAATTGTTTTTTGCTGAACAAAAAAAACAAAAACCTTCCAGTTCATAGACCAACGTTCATCGAGGTTCTAGCCATCTGCTTTACGGGATTATCCAAACCCCAAGATCTAAAAACGCGGCCTTGTGGTTAGTGATCTCACCGTCGACTCGTACCTGGTCGGAATGAGTCATTGGACATCTGTCTGTTGTCTTACTCACCAGGACAATGTTACCACAACATTCAACTGTTATGAGGAAGACAAATGTAGGACCCAACCTCGGTTTGTCTCATCCACAATTCATCTCCAAGCTCTTGGAAATGACTTATCTTTTTTTTTTTTTTTCGAGGGGACACAAAGCAGCATTATCTCTGGAATTTTTGAGGAGCTGATAAAGAGTGGTGTCCCTAATTGACTGTAAATTATCCAACGAAGTTCTGTACGTAACCTCTGAGACATACTGAAACATGGAAAACATGCCTTTGGTGGTCTTTTTGTGGCTTTTTAATGTACACAAAGAAAAAAAAAAAGATTCTTTTTTGGAAAAGGGTTGATTGTTTTCCTCCCTCACGTCCATCTGTCTTTCATCTCCTGGCTGGACAAAATTTTTTTTTTTTTTTTTTTAATTTTTTTTTTCCAGAAAATTGGGAAGGGGGTGAGGAGCTCCAGCTGGAATTAAGATACGAGCAAGGCTTACATGGCTAATGGGTAATGAGTCAGAATGTAGGGCAAGCGTCTTCGGTTCTTCACCTCAACTACTCCCACACTAGTGAGAAGCCATCAAAGATGGTGCCCTGAGCTTTGTAAAACATGAGTTCTCACCCCTATTAATCAGCAGGAGCCTACACTCCGAAAGTTCTCACGTCTTCTGTTTTGACTTAGGACCCTCCGGTGGCCAAATATTTGACAACTATAGGGGAATGGAGGCTCCTCTCCTCTCTTCTATTAGTCATCTTTGGCTTCAGATGTTCCCAGTTTGGATTCGCAGACGGTGACTGCGCTTAACAACGTTGATTGGAGGGGGGGTGGAACTGCGAAAATGCAAAGTCTTCGAGAAAAAAGAAACCTCGGCTTTTGATGAGGAGACGGATATTTGTGTTTCCACAAACTGTGCTAAATTAAAAAAATCACGAGGAGGGAATTTAGAGCCCCGGCGTTGGGAAGGGGGTTGGGGTGTTTTGTGGATCATCGTTTTTGAGGCTTGTTGGAGCTAGGCAACGGTCCCAGCGATCGTGTTTATACATTCATGTATGGAAGAGAGAGCAGAAAATGGACTAGGCTATAAAGGTCTACACATGGACAAAGGGTGGGCAGGATTTGCTAGTAGGGATGAATGGGTGGATTTGTGCTAGGAGAGGGGATTTGTAGTGGGAGAGGGGGATTTGTTAGCAAGGTGAGGACTTCTGATCAGAGGGGAAATTTCAAGGGTAGAGGATTTGTGCCTAGAGAGGAGATTGGGGGGGGGAGGGGGATTTATGCTCAGAGGGGAAATTTGAGGAGTAGAGGATTTGTGCTGGGGGGGGGGGGGGTTATGAGGGGAATTTGTACTGGGCGAGGGGTATTTAGGGGGGAGGGCAAATTTGTGGTCAGAGGGGAAATTTGAGGATTTGTGCCTGGAGAGGGGGATTTGGAGGGTGGGGGGGATTTATGCTTCAATGGGAAATTTGAGGGGTGGATGATTTGTGCTAAAAGGTGGGGTTATGGGGGGAATTTGTGCTGGCAGAGGGGGATTTGGGGGGGTTATTGGGGGGGGCGAATTTATGCTCAGAGGGGAAATTTGAGGGGTAGAGGATTTGTGCTAGGAGGGGGGATTGGAGGGAAGGGGGTTGGAGGGTTAGTGCTAGGAGAGGGGATTTGGGGGGTGATTTGTGCTGGGAGAGGGGGATTTGAGGGGATGGGGGGATTTATGCTCAGAGGGGAAATTTGAGGGTAGAGGGTTTGTGCCTGGAGAAGGGGATTTGGGGGGGTGTGGGGGGGTATTTATGCTCAAACGTGAAATTTGAGGGATAGAGGATATGTGCTAGGAGGGGGGATTATGGGGAGAATTTGTGCTGGGAGAGGAGGATTTGGGGAGGGCAAATTTATGTTCAGAGGGCAAATTTGAGGGGCAGAGGATTGGTACTTGGAGAGGGGAATTTGGGGGGGAGGGATTTATGCTCAGAGGGGAAATTTGAGGGGTAGAGGATTTGTGCTAGGAAGGGGGGTTATGAGGGGAAATTTGTACTGGGAGAGGGAGATTTGGGTTGGCGTATTGGGGGGGGGGGGGGCAAATCTATGCTCAGAAGGCAAATTTGAGGGGTAGAGGATTTGTGCTAGGAAAGGGGCTTATGAGGGGAATTTGTACTGGGAGAGGGAGATTTGGGGGGGGGGGGGCGAATTTATGCCCAGAAGGCAAATTTGAGGGCTAGAGGATTTGTGCTTGGAGAGGGGGATTTGGGGGGTCGGGGGGGTCGGGGGGGATTTATGCTCCGAGGCGAAATTTAAGGGGTAGAGGATTTGTGCTAGGAGGGAGGTGGGATTGGGGGGGAGGGGGTTGGAGGGTTAGTGCTAGGAAAGGGGATTTGGGGGGTGATTTGTGCCTGGAGAAGGGGATTTTGGGGTGGGGGGATTTATGCTCCGAGGGGAAATTTGAGGGGTAGAGAATTTGTGCTAGTAGTGGGGATTGGGGTGGGGGGTAGGGGGGGGGGGGGGGGGGGGGGGGGGTTGGAGGGTTAGTGCTAGGAGAGGGGATTTGGGGATGATTTGTGCCTAGAGTGGGGAAATTTGAGGGGTAGAGGGTTTGTGCCTGGAGAAGGGGATTTGGGGGATGTGGGGGGGGGGATTTATGCTCAGAGGGTAAATTTGGAGGGTAGAGTATTTGTGCTAGTGGGGGGGGGGGTTATAGGGGGGGGGGGGGGGGGGAATTTGTACTGGGAGAGGGGGATATGGGGGGAGGGCGAATTTAAGGGGTAGAGGATTTGTGCTAAGAAGGGGGGGTTATGGGTGGAATTTGTGCCTGGAGAGGAGGGGGGATTTATGCTCAGAGAGGAAATTTGAGGGGTAGAGGAGGATTTGTGGGGGAAGGGTTGAAGGGTTAGTTCTAGGAGAGTAGATTTGGGGGGTGATTTGTGCTGGGAGGGATTTAGGGGGGTGGGGGCAATTTAGAGAGGAGGATTTGAGGGGGGGGGGGGTGAATTTATGCTCAGAGGGCAAATTTGAGGGGTAGAGGGTATGTGCTAGGAGGGGGGTTATGGGAGGAATTTGTGCTGGGAGAGGGGGATTTGGGGGGTGGGGGTGAATTTATGCTCAGAGGGCAGATTTGAGGGTAGAAGATTTGTGTTAGGAGGGGGGATTTGGGGAGGGAGAGGATTTGAGCTGGGAGGGGGGATTTGTACTTAAAGGGGGGTAGAATTCTGAGTTGCAAAAGGAATTTCTGCTTAGGGGTTAGTGTGAAGATTAGTGGTAGGGGTGGACTGACAACTCATGGGGCCCCCGGGCAATAGGGGATCATGGGGCCCCTGTGTCCTTGCCCAAACTCAAAAAAGCCTATGAAAAAGGTACCAGGGGCATCTCATGGGGCCCCCTACTGACCCCGGGCCCTCGGGCAGTGCCCGAGTCTCCAAATGGTCAGTCCGTCCCTGATTAGTGGTCTAATTTTTTTTTTGGGGGGGGGGGGGGGCCTCCTGCACTTTTTGCGACCCCATCCTGCTGAAGCACCCAAGGTATCTGCCCCTTCTGCCTACCCCTCCGCCCGGCCATATTCATTTTCAATGGGTCGCTGCAAACATTTTTTCTTCGAGACTTGCACCATGTGTTAGTGCAATGCATAGAGTGCATAGGCCCTCAGTGGCCCCCTCCCACCAGCCATGATCTGCCTGCATTGCCTAGAGGAGCATAGAGACCACGTGGGTCTACAATAAGGTATGTAAATGAAAATAGAAATGTTGATGGGGGGGGAGGGGGGCAGGGAAGGCAAATTAAACTTCGGCTTTAAAGGTCATGAGCTCCATTTTGGACTCCAAACTTATGGAGGCTAAACTTGCATCAACCCCCTCCCCCCTCCCCCCCGTTCCCCAGGGAAGGTCACGTTGACTCCATTCCAGATACATTTCCCCTCGGCTTGGGTGACGGTATTCTGGGCACGAAAAGGAGCGGTTGAACCTGAAAACGAAACGTTGTAATTTTATCTGGCAGGATTGGAGGGATTTTCCTTCCAGGGGATGACTCCTCCGCCAACATTTTTTCCTCCCAGAGTTTAAACGGCCGTCTTTTATTGCAGAGCTCGGGGGACTTAAGTCGATTTACAGGACCCTCAAACAGTGGGTGTGGGAATCCCTTAATTCGAGCGGTAGCGAGTGTGATCCCCCCCCCCACCCCCGCCCTCCCACATGTTACAGGAGCGTTGTAGGGGAAAAAAAAAAACCTCGTCTTCTGGTGACTTCACCGGGGTTAGATCAGCAACCGCAGGATTCGGGACGTGAAGGGCTTTTGTTGTAGTTTTACTTTTATGGTTTCATTTGGTTATGAAAAAAAAACCCCCAAAAAAAACCCTAAATTTCTTCAAATTCGTCAAGTGTCCCAGGAAGAAGCACCTGCAGTGAATGTTGGGGTGAATGACTCTGTAGGTACACCCCTTTAAGTGTCCATGCATCTGGTATGTACATCTAGTTCCAGGCCAATGGTCCACCAAGCCATGGAGACAGGATAAGTCATGGAACTTGGGCCATCCAAAACCAGGTGACCCCCCCCTGGCAGGTCCCATAACTCCACCACCCGTACCACTGCCTTTAAAAACCGAATTGTGGCTGATTAGCTATGGAATTCGTGCCAATTGTCCTGGATTTGCTGTGGACCTCATCTTGGTCTTCTGTCTCACCAATGCCGAGTCCAGGGCCATGTCTCGGGATCACAGCACCAACCCCATTGGAGTTGCAGCACACGTCATTTCTAAAAAGGGGTTAATTGTGAGGATCTGGACCAAGAATGAGCAGTCCCTGCCTATTTAGAGGTGGGGTCTGAGCGGGACCAATCCATAAAGTGGGTGTGATGGGCTGTACCTGCATAGTTAGAGGCAGGACTGGGCAGGTCCAACTTGTAACTTGGGCCTGAATGAACAGCAGGGTCTGGGTGGGACCAACTATAAAGTGGGCATGATGGGTGATCCCCACATATTTAGAGGTGGAGTCTGGGTGGGACCAATCTATAGAATGGGCATGGTAAGCATTCCATGCCTAGTTATATCTGGGGTATGGGTGGGGACCAACCAATGAAGTGGACATGATGGGTGGTCCTCACATACTCCGAGGTGGGGTCTGGGGGGGAACAACCCATAAAGTGTACATGATAGGCAGTCCCTACATATGTAGAGATGGGGTCTCTCCACCAGGAAGGTGGGCATGATGGATGGTCCTTGCATAGTTAGAGGTGGGGTCTGGAAGGACAAACCCATAAAGTTTGGCATGATGGGCAGTCCCTACATATGTAGATGGGGGGGGTCTCTCCACCAGTAAAGTGGGCATGATGGATGAACCTTGCATAGTTAGAGGTGGGGTCTGGGGGGACGAACCCATACAGTGGGCATGATGTGCAGTCCCTACATATGTAGAGATGGGGTCTCTCCACCAGTAAAGTGGGCATGATGGATGGTCCTTGCATAGTTAGAGGTGGGGGTCTGGGAGGACGAACCCAAAAAGTGGGCATGATGTGCAGTCCCTACCTATGTAGAGATGGGATCTCTGTGGGGCCAACCAGAAAAGTGGGCATGATGGATGGGTCTTGCATAGTTAGAGGTGGTGTCTGGGCGGGACCAACCAATAAAGTAGGCACGTTGGGTGGTCCCAACATATTTAGATATGGGGTTGGGGCAAGACCCACCTGTGAAGTGGGGACGATGGGTGGGCAGTCCCTGCATATTTAGAGGTGGGTCTGAGCGTGACTAATCCATAAAATGGATATGATGGGTTGTGCCTGCATAGTAAATGGCAGGATTGGGCAGGTCCAATTTGTAATGTGGGCCTGATGAACAGCAGGGTCTGGGTGGGACCAACCAATAAAGTGGGCATGAAGGGTGGTCCTCACATACTTCGAGGTGGGGTCTGAGGCGACCAACCCATAAAGTGGGCATGATGGGCAGTCCCTACATGTGTAGAGATGGGGTCTCTGAGGGACCAATCAATAAAATCGGCATGATGGATGGTCCTCACATAGTTAGAGGTGAGGTGTGGGTGGGACCAACCCATATAGTAGGCATGATGGTCTGTCCCCACATATTTAGATGTGGGGTCTGAGCGAGACCAGCCTGTAAGATGGGGATGATAGGTAATCCCAACATATTTAGAGATGGAGTCTGGATGTGACCAACCCATAAAGTGGGCATGATGAGCAGTCCATGCATAGTTGGAGATGAGGTGTGGGTTGGACCAACCAATAAAGTGAGCATGATGGGTGGTTCCAACATTGTTCAAGGTGGGGTCTGGGGGGACCAACCCATGATACGGGCATGATAAGTAGTGCATGCATAGTTAGAGCTGGAGTATAATGGGTGGTCCCCAGTATGATTTGGATGGAACCAACCCATAAAGTGGATTAATGGGTGGCCCCCCACATATTTAGAGTTGGGGTCTGGGCAGATTGTAGGCGGGGTTAATAGTTCCTTGGGATCCAGAACCATACTGTTAGTAAGTATATTATTGATCAGATCAAACCTGCAGTCACCAAATCCACCAGAAAATGGTTCATGGCTTCTGAAAACCGCTACAACCTCCATCTGAGTGCTGACCGTCCCGACCAATCCATATCGGCTCATGCAAAGTTCTCAAGTTCTAGTTCCATCTTTGGAATCCTCCAGACTCTTCTCCTTCTTCTTCACCTTCTCCTCCTTCTTCTTCTCCTTCTTCTGCTTCTCCTTCTTCTTCCTCTTCTTCTCCTTCATCTCCTTCTTCTTCTCCTCCTTCTTCTCTTCTTCTTCTTCACCTCCTCCGTCTCCTCCCTCTTCTCCTTTTTCTTCCTCTTTTTCTCCTTCTTCTCCTCCTCTTCCTTTGGAACCCTCCAGACTCTTCTCCTTCTTCTCATTCTTCTCTTCCTCTTCGTTTTTAGTTTTATCTTTGGAACCCTCCAGAACTCTTCTCCTTCTTCTTCTCTTTCTTCTCCTCCTTCTCATTCTTCTCCTCCTTCTTCACCTCCTCCTTCTTCTTCTCCCTCCTCCTTCTCTCTTCTTCTTCTCCTTCTCCTACTTCTCTTTCTTCTCCTCCTTCTCCTCCTCCTTCTTCTCCTTCTTTTCTCCTTCTCCTTCTTCCTTCTCCTTCTTCTCCTTCTCCTCCTCCTTCTTCTCCTCCTTCTTCTTCTTCCTTCTTCTTCTTCTTCTCCTCCTCCTTCTTCTCCTCCTCCTCCTTCTCCTCCTTCTTCTCCTCCTTTTTCTCATTCTTCTCCCTCTTCTTTTAGTTTTTATCTTTGGAACCCTCCAGACTCTTCTCCTTCTTCTCCTCTCCTTCTTCTTCTCTTTCTTCTCCTCCTTCTCATTCTTCTCCTCCTTCTTCTCCTTCTTCTCTTTCTTCTCCTTCTTCTCCTTCTCCTTCTCCCTCCTCTCCTCCTTCTTCTTCACCTCCTCCTTCTTCTCCTTCTTCTTCTCCTTCTCCTACTTCTCTTTCTTCTCCTTTTTAGTTCCTTTCTCCTCCTCCTTCTTCTTCTCCTTCTTTTCCTTCTCCTTCTCATTCTCCTTCTTTTCCTTCTCCTTCTTTCTCCTTCTCCTCCTCTTCTCCTTCTTCTCCTTCTCCTCCTTCTTCTCCTTCTCCTCCTCCTTCTTTTTCTTTCCTCCTCCTTCTCCTCCTTCTCCTCCCTTCTTCCTCCTCCTTCTTCCTCTTCTCCTTCTTCCTCTTCTCCTCCTTCTTCCTCTTCTCCTTCTTCCTCTTCTCCTTCTTCCTTCTTCTCCTCCTTCTTCTTCTTCTCCTCCTTCTTCTTCTTCTCCTCCTTCTTCTTCTTCTCCTCCTTCTTCTCCTCCTTCTTCTTCTTCTCCTCCTCCTTCTTCTTCTCCTCCTCCTTCTTCTTCTCTCCTCCTCCTTCTTCTTCTCCTCCTCTTCTCTTTCTCCTCCTTCCTTCTCTTCTCCTCCTCCTCCTTCTTCTCCTCCTCCTTCCTTCTTCTCCTCCTCCTCTATCTCTCCTCCTTCTTCTTCTTCTCCTCCTCCTTCTTCTCTCCTCCTCCTCCTTCTTCTCCACCTCCTCCTTCTTCTTCTCCTCCTCCTTCTTCTTCTCCTTCTTCTTCTCCTCCTTCTTCTTCTTCTCCATCTCCTTCTTCTTCTTCTTCTTCTCCTCCTTCTTCTTCTTCTCCTCCTTCCTTCTTCTTCTCCTCCTTCTTCTTCTTCTCCTCCTCCTCCTTCTTCTTCTCCTCCTCCTTCTTCTTCTTCTCCTCCTCCTTCTTCTTCTCCTCCTCTTCTTCTTCTTCTCCTCCTTCCTTCCTTCTTCTTCTCCTCCTTCTTCTTCTTCTCTCCTCCTCTTCTTCTTCTTCTCCTCCTTCTTCTCTTCTTCTCCTCCTCCTTCTTCTTCTTCTCCTCCTTCTTCTTCTTCTCCTCCTCCTT